TGTAACTACAGACCTTGTCCTAAAGGACAATGTCATGTGACCATTACACAAATGCCATGTGACCTGCCAGTCATGCTAGTGTGATACAGGTTACAGGTATCTTATCCCAACCAATTGCGAGAGACAGTTAATCATAATACAGGGAGAATTTTTAAATTTTCCGTCGATACTGAGATTTGAACTCTGGACCTGCCACTTGAGGGTTGACAACCTGACCACTTCATTAGGTCGCCACACCCCTCTAGAGTTTTAGTTTTATTATATAACTCAATAATTACAAAAATTATATATATAAGTATGTATGTATGTAAATAGACATTATAGAGTGTCGATTGTTTGAGGTTAAGTTACTATTAGTTTTTGAGTCTCTTGATGTTGCATCAGCAAATAGTAAGAATATGCCAAATTTTCCAAATAAAGAATTTGGTGACTTTATGAAATTGGTTATTAAATGGAATTTGTCAGATTTATGTGCAAGTAAAATACTTCATTTTTCAAAAAAAATAGTATATGATAATATTATTTTATCTACCTTAATACAACAAGAGAAGCAGTGTTTAGACAAAATTATGATACAATATATTTTTTTTAAGAAAGTACCTATAGTAAAATATGAAGATGAAATATACTATCTTAATTATCATCCAATTTTTGATGCTATTAAAGAATTGTTAAGCAACGAAGATATACTTAATCATTGTGTCTTTGAGTTTACACTATTGTACTACCAAGGGCAATAGATATATTATAAACAATTTAATGGAAAATGGTAGAAAAGAGCAAAAGAAACAATTCCTCATGATGCAAGCATTTTATCAATAATATTATATTCTGACACTACTACATGCAATCAACTAGGAAAATCAAATAAACATTTAGTATATTTGACATTAGGCAATATTTTTAGTTTGCACAAAAACAAACCTAATGCTAAAGCTCTTTTGGCTTATCTTTCAATCTTAAAATCAAAAACAACTACTCAAAAAAAATCAAGTAATTTTTTATTTGCAAAATGGTCTGCATATCAACATTCTTTGGATGTAATTTTAAAGCTACTGCTTGACTATAAAGACAATGGGTTTGATCTTCAAACAAATAATGATGATTTATAGTGCTACCCATTTGTTTCAGTCTTTTTAGATGACCTTCCAAAACATTCACTGCTAACATTAACATTTAATGCTTTTAATTGTAAATGTCCATGTCATAGATGCTTGGTATCATTTAATAATATGAATAATATTAAGTTAAATGTAGATCAAATTAATTTAAGAACCTCAGAAACAATGCAAAACATTATTTATCAAGGACTTTCAAAACAATATTCTATATATAGTATAAAAAATATATTTTAGAAATATCTGTAAGTATATATTTATATCTATATTTGATATAAATTTTATATTTTGTAATAAATTTTATTAATTTATTTTATTATTTATTTTATTTTATTTTATTTATTTTTTGTAATCATGACATCTGAAATTATTATACAATACTGTAATTTAATAATAATTTATAAAAAATATCAGCCAATTAAACATTTATATAACTACAATTCTGAACAAAATGCATCATTTGGACTTAGAATTGTTCAAATATCAAGTAAAATATACAAGAAAAATGCTAAATAATCTTTGTGGAAATGTAGCAATTGATGAGCTTGATCAACATTTAGCAAAAATGCCAAGGTTTCCTGAACTTAAAGTGTTTAAAAAAGGCCTTGAGAATATTAAACGCTTTATAGCTAATGAGTTCTGCAATATGATGAAAGTGTTTCTCTTTGTTATAGAAGGAATTATTATTAAACATCATAAAATTTCAATTGAAAAAAATATCGCAAAACAATATGATTCTGAATTAATTAATGTTTATTATTACTGAAACAAAATATATTTGTTTAGTCGAAAAAAATATTTTTTAGAATCAGACCTTGTAGAGTTTAAGATAAATTTTTAATATTTAATATAATTTTTTTATTTAATAGTTGCAATATTGTATATTAATAATATTAATTAAAATTATTTTACTATATTATAGAATTTAATTATGAGTTGGGCAACATTATTTGTTAAACTTTTTAAAAGTTATTCTCTATCAGAATTTTGACTACATAAATTGCATAATTGGTGTTATCATACTATTGAAGCAATTAAAGAATTTGAAGCTATTAATAGATTCACAACAAAGACATATGAAACTTTGCACAAGAACTTTGTAAAAAAGCCATATAGAGCTAGTAATAAGCATAATGCTACTAAACAAATAATTCAAACAGTTAGTATACTTATTATTTATCTTAATTCTATTTATAGTTAAATTTTGCTAATAATAATATTTATATATAAGTATATCATAATTTGATTTTTAATTATCTATCTCAACACAAAAAAGTTTTATGATCTACAGGATGAATATCTAAAAACCTTTTAATGAATGGACTTCTAGAAGAATTCTTATTAAAAACAGCTAATGATTTTTTTTCTTCATATATATCAAGAATAAACTAGCTTCTGAGGTTTTATTAGCTTTTGATCATTTTTTTTCATCATTAAATAAATTCTTTAACTTGTATAAGAATTTAACTGAAGATATGGTAACAGATGATACTATTATTAAATGGTATAGTTATACTAATAGAGCAGCTAGTGAAGATTATATTAGAGCAACAAGCAATTATTAT